GAAAAATCATATGTATGCACACACACACACACACACAGACACAGAGAGAGAGAGAGAGAGAGAGAGAGAGAGAGAGAGAGAGAGCAAGCAAACACACATTAGTCATCTGTCTTGCTAGTAGCGTGTATAATCTGCCATGGGTCACAGAACCCAGGAAGTCTAAACACCTTTCCAGAAATTCTTTCCCCTAGCCAGTCCCACACAGTTCTGCCACTACTTTCTGAAGGCTCATGACTCTCTAGGGCCTGTCTCTAGAAGCAGATCCAGAGAATTCCCCCTGCCTATATCCTTGTGGAAATTGAGTCTCAAAGCTCAGAACTCCCTCATGTTGCTATGGGTGAGGCTCCATGTGGGGTAACAGGGGCTCCATGGAATGACAGCAGTCAGGAAAGATGCATGGAAATAGGAGTCAGATAGTGGAGGGCTATGAATGCCAACTGGAGGTTTGCCCTTGGGAGGGTATCAATAGGAATAGTTGCTGCAAAATCCCATTCAGAGTGGCTGATGCAGGGCAGGGAAGAGGTGGCACCTGTCCCTGAGCCATGGGTGGTGGCTTGACCAGGCACTAGGCCAGGTAAAAGGTCTCAAAGTCAGGTGTGAGTGCCTGGGACTCTGGTGAGAGGAGGGCTGCTGGCGGGCTGAGACAGAATGAGGGAAAGGGAGGGGCAGAGAGAGAGGGAAATGAAAAAGTGGGAAGAGGACAAACTGGCCATTCCCTAGAGGGGGACACCAGCCAGCTCACTCTTCCCAAGGGGCTCTGCAGATTCAGAGGTATATGGGTATGGTCTCAAAAGTCATGCTCAATCTGTAGCTATAAATACAGCCAAGTATGGTGATGCACACCTTTAATTCCAGCACTTGGGAGGCAGAGGCAGGTGGATCTTTGTGAGTTCAAGAACAGCCTGGTCTACAATAGTGAGTGCCAGGCTGGCTGGGGCTACAGGGAGACCCTGTCTCAAAAAGACAAAACAACCCCCCCCAAAACCACAAACAAAAACAAAAACAAATGCAACCCAAAACAAAAATGTAAACTTACTAAAAACATCATAATAATTCTTTGTGATTTTTTTTTTTGTAACTCAATTGCATGGTTCTTGGTTGTGAGCTCTGTATATGACAGTGTTGTGTCACAACGTCAAAAGGTTGGACACACCTGCACTGCTGTCCTATACTCAGGCTGCCCATGGGGGCACAGACTTAGAGAAAACTGCTATTGAAGTCAACTGTGCTGACTTTGGGGCTGGAGAACAGAGTGGCCTCTCCACCCCTTCTGGCTGAGAGCACCAGTCACCTAAGAACCACAGTGGGGAGGGAACAGGTGAGGGGACAGCCCTCCCCCCCATGCTGTGGCCTGTTGGGGTTTTTAGTGTGGTTGGTGAGCAGAAAGGCCTGTGGTACCTCCAAAAGCTTTGGTTTCTACATCTTTAGAACAGGGCTAACCTCTGGGGAGAAGTGGTGCCTCATGGGGACGGCAAGAGAGAGTTTGAAGACCACTTCCTGTTTGTTCTCTAACCTTTCTCTTATGCAAAGAAAGAAGCCCCAAACTGGGATGTTTGTGGGATAAATGTCTTGCTGGTGTGGGGAGAGGGTCTGAGAGGTGGGGTACACACTGGTGTTTCTCTCTTCCTATGCAGCTCAGTTTCTCCTTCCTAATCCCACAGATTCCCGTGTGTGGACTTGTGGCTATCTGGACGCACACACATGCATGCGTGCTTGCACTGTGTCCTTCCTGTGATTTCTCTGGAGACCAGCCCTCTCCCAGGCTCAGGGTCTCACCCCTGCTTGAGAGGTTGGAGGAGGGGTGGCTTTTACTCTGGGCTGCCCTAGGGTGCAGGCCTGGGCACCCACTGGGAGCCAGGAGCACATGGGGGTTCCTCTGTGCAGTGAAATGGGATCCCCTTTTATCAGGGGGCTGGGGTGGGCTGGGAGAATGAATCAGAGGAGCTTGTTTTCATTTCGTGTTTAATTTCCTGCAGGCTCAGCTCAGCCTTCCGCTCCATCCTCAGCCTCCCAGGGTTTTCTGGGGAAGCCAGGGGGAGGGGAGAAATCGGCTGGCTAGAGCCACCAAGACACAGAGCTTGGCTCCTTTCTTTCTTTGGGGGTGGGGCCTGAAAAGCTTCCGAGGTTTAGTGTCTGTGGGCTCCAGGTCTCCTTTGTGATAGGGATGTGGAGGTGAGAGGTATCACTGATGGCTCCGGGGTTGAAGACCCAAGGATGGCTGGGAAGGGCCCTGGAGCAGAAGAAGGTGTCTGGTGTCTGAAATTGGGATGAGCAGGTAGGGGATGGAATGTGGAGCTTGAGGGAAGGGGGTAGCCTGTTATCTGGGGAGGGACCTGGAAGAGGGACAGATTGTGAGACTGATTTGAGGGCTTAAGATCTAGGTGGCGGGAGGTGGGGGCAGCTGAGAAAGTTGGCATCAGTGGAGACTGGCCTGCCCAGGTCTTCCTCCCCCAGGTGGTCCTTTGTTCCTAACCTTACTCTAGTCAAAGCTAAAGCTGTTAGCCTGGCTGACCTCAGTGTCCTCCCATCCTCTAGAAGGTGGCAAGTACCTAGTGGCCACTCTGTGCTCCAATCCACAGCACTGTGGTTTGGTGAGTCCTTCCGGCTCTGACCCTCATCTGTGGTTCTCCGCCTCACGGCTGCCCAACCACAAGCCTGTCTCTATAACTCTCAGGAGGAGAGCCTACTGAGGTCCCCTATGTGCTCCTATTCTACTCATGCCCCCAGGACCACCCCGTTCCAGGCCCACTCAACATAGGCCTCTCCGGAGGACTAGGCTGTTCAAGGAACCCAACTGTCTTGGCAGAGGCCTCCTTAACCGCAGCCCATCTGGGACCAGGGCGGGGTGGCCCAGGGTGGGGAGGCCTCAGTCTCATTGTCTTCAGACACCAGCTGTGAAGATTGGAATCCCAGACAGCAGAGAGAGGCCCCTGCAGCCCCCTGGAGCAGGGCCAGGCCTCAGGCTGCTTCCCAAGAAGGGCCATCTTGGGATCCCTGTCACCCTCTCCCTGTCCCCACAGCCTCTCTCTACATCAGGCACCTGGCTTGCCAGCAGCAGAGTGGGCCCCCAAGTGAACTCCACAGAGGCAGGCAGGGGGTTCCAGCACAACCCCACACCCCCTCAGGGCACTGCCAGGCTCAGAGCTCAACCCAGAGGTCTGACGCACATGGAGATCCCACCCACCCTGCTGCCTTTACACAAAGAAAAGACTAAGAACAATCTGGCATGTGTCCTGAACAGCTGAAGTCGAAGGACCCTGGCCCAGAGCTCGGGAGCCCTGGATTCCAGGCTCAGCACTGTTCAGAGTCGCTGTTAACCCTAGGCAATCACTTCCTACCTCTGGGCCCTTCTTCCCCATCTATCAAATCAGAAGGTGGCGTGATCTCTTCCAGCACTACTGTTCTATGATTCTATAATCTTCCCTCTCAATAGAAAGATAGAGCACATCAAGTTTTCCCTTTCTGCCTTCGCTGACAGGACGCTCAAGGATGAACTTTGTGTTCATTGGAAACAAAGAGCTTTTTTCCTATATGTATATTTTTTAACAGAATCACTTCCTCATCTCATGATATTGTTCCCGATCTTAGACTAAAATAAACCTCTGATTGTAATGGGTCTCGATTCTATTTTGGAACCACACTTCTGTATGTCTTTGTCTTAGCTGTATACCAATGACTCAGAAACACTAGCTGGGGTAACTCTGTTTTGTACAGAACTTTGCTTGAACTCTGCTCTGGACATGCCCATTCATTTAAAAAAAAACCTGAATGTGGGACTGGAGAGATGGCTCAGTGGTTAAGAGCACTGGCTGCTTTTGCAGAGGACCTGGATTCAATTCCCAGCACCTACATGGTGGCTAACAACTGTCCATAACTCCAGTTCCAGAGGATCTGATGCCCTCTTCTGACCTCAGTGAGCATTGCATGACATGGGTGCACTTACACACATGCAGGCAATACACTCACACATAAAAATAATAAATAAATTTTTTGAAAACCTGAATGTGATGCTCACATGCACACATAGGTGTACACACAAACAGAAAGCAAGCAGATTTACCTCACTGACCAACATGTCACCCACTAGGACTGTGATCTGATAACCAGTTGCCTGAGCTCTACCTTTCCTGCCCAACCCTCAATCCTTGGGCCAGAGCTGAGGCTGGATTCTGGGGCTCCTCTGGAACTCAAGTAGGTGAAGCCTCAGGGAAGTGGGGCCACGAGAGGGCTCTGGCATGGTGGTAAAGCCCAGTTACCCTGCCGTTCTTCCTCACACTATGTGACCACAGCACTCCATGGCAGCTACAGTGTCTAAGCTGCCCATTTCCCAGTACCACTTGGCCTTTTCCATGTGCCTGAACTAAATGGCAGATGCCCCAGAGTTAAACAGGAACTGGGAGAAACTGATGGGCATCCTATGGATGCCTTAGACCCACCAGTAGAACAAAAGCCACAGTGCCCACAGGCCTGTCCAGACCATGTGGCCCTTGGTCCTGGTTCCCTGGGGCCCAGACCTCTACCCTGTGCTGTGCCCATTCAAAAGAAGCCCTCTCTTGGGACTGGGAGGTGGCTTAGGTGGTAAAGTGCTTGCTATGCAAGCAAGAGTATATGAATTCAGATCCCCAGAACCCACTTAAAAAGCTAAGCGTGGGGACTGAAGAGATGGCTCAGTGGTTAAGAGTACTGGCTGCTCTTGCAGAGGACCTGGATTTGGTTCCTAGCTCCCATATGGCAGCTAATACTAGTCCTTAACTCCAGTTCTAAAGGCTCCTATGACTTCTTCTGACCTCTGTGGACACTGCATGATGCGGGTACCCTTACATACATGTGGACGACACACTCATACACATAATATAAATAAATTTTTTTTAAAAAGCCAGGCGTGGTGGCATGACTCTGTAACTCCAGTGCTGGGGTGTGAGGCAGAAACAGGAGGATCCCGGGGGCTCACTGGCCAGCCAGTCTAGTCGAAGTGGCAAGTTCCAGGTTCAGAGAGAGAGACCCTGTCTCAAAAAATAAGATGAGCAATTGAGGAAGATACCTGACACTGACTGCTGGCCTACACATACACACACATACACTTGTACATGTACCCACACACTTGTACACACATATGAACATAGCACATACATATATCATACACACACAAATAAAATATAAAAAAGGAAGTTTCAGGTTCCCTGCTGGCTGGAGAGGAGCCTGCTCTGCGCCATCCCTACCACTCTTTGGGTGGAAAAGCAGTCTGAGTGTTGTTGATTTTGTGTTAAAGTGAAACTTGAACTTAAGCATTTGGGGTTTGGCACCCGTGTTTTGGTAGATCGGATTTTTACTTCCTTTGCTGAGATTTCCTGCAGAGGGGAACATACCCTTGGGGCAAAGCAGGGCAGCAGGGCTGCACTAGCTCCTTTTTTGCCTTTGTTGCTCTGAATTCAACCTTCTCTGGTTGGTGGGAATATAGAAGTAAACAATAAGCCAGGCGTGGTAACACACACCTAAAGCCCCATTACTTGGGAGGTGGAGGCAGGAGGATCAGGAGTTCGAGGACATCTGTGGCTACACAGTAAGACAGAGGCCAGTCCCAGCCTCTATCTCAAAAGCAAAACAACAGCCAGCACTCAGGAGGCAGAGGCAGGCAGATCTCTGTGATATCGAGGCCGGCTGGGGCTACAGAGGGACCATGTTTCAAAAACAAACAAAAACACACAAGACAATGGTGGTGAACAATGAAGGAATTCTAGTGGGAAGAGAATAATGTGATCTAGTCACAAAGTCTATCCAGAAGAGAAAACAGGACAATGTGGTTTAAATGACCTGCTTTGATTGTGTTGAGCTGGGTGGAATTGTATTGTATTGTATCAGGCTATGTGGTATTGTGTTGTCTTCAATTTAACTGAACTGTGTTGAGTTGTATTGGGTTATGGTATATTGGCTTTGTTGGGTTGTGCTGGGTTGAACTGAGCTGTGTATGGTGAATTGTGTTGAGTTGTGTTGTTTTGAGCTGTGTTGGGTTAGGTTCAACTATTTTGGATTGAACTGGGTTGAACTGAGTTGCTGAGTTGAGTTGTCCTGGGCTGTATTGTGTTGTGTTAGGTTGTGTTATACTGGGTTGAACTGAGCTCTGTATGATGAATTGTGCTGCATTGAGCTGGATATACTATGTTGTATTGGGTTAGGTTGGATAGTATTGGATTGTGCTGTGTTGTACTGGTCTGTGTTGGGTTGTGTTGGGTTGGGTGGTGTTAAGTAGGTTGGGTTGGGTTGTACTGAGCTGAACTAAACTATGTGTGGTGAGTTGCACTGTGTTGAGTTGGGTTGTACTGAGCTATGTTGTGTTGGGCTGTGTTGTATTAGGCTGGGTTGTATTGGGATGAACTGATCTGTATGTAATGAATTGTGCTATTTGAGATAAGTTTACTGATTTGCATTGTGTTGTATTGAGTTAGGCTATGTAGTGGTTGGGCTGTGTTGTATTGAGTTGTACTGGGTGGAACTGAGCCATGCATGGTGAGTTGTATTGTGTTCAGTTGAATTGAGCTGTGTTGTGTTCAGCTGCGCTATATTAGGGTTGGGTTAGGTAGTGTTGACCTGTGTTGATCTCATCAGAGGCAAGTTGACAGGGTCCTGAAAGATGGAGGAGGCAGCCATCCTAAATGAGAAAGGGCAGACTGTTCTCTGCTTCTGCCATAGGGCTGCTGTGAATTCCTGTGCTTTGTCCTATCTCCTGCCAGAGAGACAGGCTTCCCAGGAGAGACTCACCATCTTGTCCTTCAGTGAAAGCCCTGGACTCACAGCCAGCAGCCTTCTCATCCCTCCATGGGGCCTTCCTATTCTGCCCTCACCCCCACAGAGCTGATTATAGTAGTTAAGCAGAGCTACTGTGGTTGGAGCAGGGGTGTGGGGGTGACCAGAACCCCCATTTGGCCTGGCAAACTCTCCTGGGGTGAGGAACCCACAGCATGGCCCACAGCAGGGCCCACAGCAGTCAGTAGATCCAGTTGCAGCTGGATGCTGAGGACCGGGAGACCCTGCCCATCCCCAGCCCTGACACCCTTGCTGACCTGCACACGGGCCTCAGTGAGGTCAGTCCTCATGGCCAGCTGCTCTCGTGCATACACGTCAGGGTAGTGCGTCTTTTGGAAGACCTTCTCCAGCTCCTCTAGCTGGTAGCTGGTAAAGGTGGTGCGATTCCGTCGCTTCTTGCCTTTGTTGCTCTCCGAGTCAGCCTTCTCCAGTGGGCTTGGGAGGTCGGCGCTGGCCCGGTCCTGAGACCCCTTGGCCCCAGTCTCCTTCACACTGAGGTAGCTGCTCTCCATGCCCACAGGCTCAGAGTCGGGGGGCAACTCTGGCTCACCCAAGTTGCTCTCTTTAGCTGAGAAAGAGGAAAGTATGTTAGAAACTGAATGAACCCAACAAGAGAGGAGAAGAGACTCCCTCGAAGAGGTGCACTGAGTGCCAGGTCAGGGAACTCGAGTTCCAATCCCAGCTTGTCAACATGCTGGGTGACTTTTGGTAAATCCCTTGCCCTCTCTCACCCTCTGTGGCATCATCTTAATATGAACCCCTTCTAGCACCAATGTTATGTGGCTCAGGGTTGGTCAGTTGGTTTCTTTCCAGCTGGTGGCCATAGAACTCCTCTCCTAGAGGGGTTCCCTTGACTAGACTCTCTCTGAGCATGGATCCAGTGACCAGCTGATACTATGCTGAGAACCACTGAGGGAGGGGAGAATGCATTTAGATACACTGGACTTGAGGGGAGAGGGAAAGACTAGCACTGAGGTACACAATGTGCCAAGTGTCCCAAGACTCCAGGACTGAGGGACCCATCCCTTACCTGCCTGCCCCACCCTCTGCACCATTCTCACTGTCCAGCATAAGGCCTTTAGGAAGTGGGTCCCATTGAGGTATGGGTATATGGGGTTTTCTTAAACTAGAAGCCTTTACCAGTGTCTACCATGGCTGTCCAGGTCCCTCACCCCAGAACCCTTCTAGGTCATAAGGAATCATCACAAATACAGCTTGAAGCCTGGACCCTAGCTACTACCTGCTGATGGAATGGGGCTCCTGTTTCAGATTGCCAGAGGCTCCAAACTCCAAGGAATGGAGCCAACCCATGTAGGTCAAGGATGGGGAGGTGTGGGCCAGGATAGGAGGGTGTGACAGGAGCTTCTGGTCTACACATCCATCTGGGCAGAGACACATGTGCCTCAAGGTGGCAGAGGGCACAGACTATAGGCTCCAGAGCTGGTAACTAAGGTGGGTGTGCCACACCTCAGGCTTTCCAGTTCCTTGTTTCTGATTAATTCCTTTGTGCCCCAGTTTCCCCTCTAGAACTTGGGGGTGAGGTACCTGTAGAGTATTCTTTATGGGTTGATATGAGGAAGTGAGAGGCTGGTACAGAGGTGCTCAGTGCAAACTGACTGCGTTGGCTTTTGCCATGACTGTCTCTTGCTTCCGGCCTGGTCTAGTGAGCTCACTGGGCCTGTCAGCACTAGAGGAATCCAACAGAGAACAAGTCCCCCAGAAAGAAGACCCAGGGGTGTAAATGCATGTATAGAAGCCCTATCGTACGGGATGCAAGTGTAGGAGCACTATGGTATGGGAGGTGAGGCATGTCTCCAGGTATGTGGCGCCATATTCCTTGTCTGTGACATGGGGAGAAGGAACCAGGCTGAGTGAGAGAGCATAGACAGTTGATAAGATGCATAGGGAGACTGTGGCAAATCTTTTCACACACTCAGCTCTGTCTGTTCACGAGCATGTGTAATAGGCATATGCATCAGCCACTCTGACCCTCTGTTTCTTCCTCTGGAAATAGGTCCACACAATGGGCATTTAGGGTCAGGATGATGCCACTGGTCCTGGTCTTCTTAGATCCCAGAGGCTGATGCTTCAGGTTCACTGTCCTCCCTGTGAGAACTGGGACTTTTTGCCTCTGTCAGTCTTCCCTCTATCACTAAGGCACTGAGGAAAGGGAGGGCAGGGCAGGTGAGTGCCCAAAGCAGGCCTGAAAGCATCTTCCTGAAGCCACGCCCCAGTTCCATTCACAGTACCGATGCCATAGAGATGGCTGTGACAACCTTGTGAGCCCCAGCCTGCACAGCAAGCCTGGGCTTCTTTTGCGAATGTGGCTGGCAGCAGGACCAAGAGTTTTCAGCAAAGATATTTATCTTCTTGGCAGACAAATACGTTTTATGTTTTGGGTTTTTTTTAAGGCAAGAAATCCCACCCAGCTCACCAAAAATAAACATCCCTCTTGTGCAACTTCCTGGCAGCCAGGCCAGGGGAGGCAGCCACCACCCCTCCTGGCCTAGCCCTGCTCTCCAGGCCCATCCGTGTCCCGTGGACCAGGGCATCCAGCCTAGGACTGGGACCACCCTGAGGGAATGAGGACTAGGAGAGAGCAGCTACAGGCTACATAAAAACCAAAGATTAGAAGGACCAGCCCAGACTCCTCATTTAGACTCAGGGAAGGCAGGCTGGAGGGAATTCAGAACATGCCTTAATTATCCACAGAGCACAGCCTCTGGCTCTCAGGGATGACTTCCTTTACACTCTAACTATGGTCATGGGCCCTGTTCTCAGGTAGAAGGATCCAGGGCCTTTCAGCACCCAGGAGTCCTGCTTCTGAGGACAGGGGAGCAGAATACAGTCCCAAGATGTCCTTGGCATGGAGCTAGTTCTTGACCTAGCAGGAAAAGATGGATGACTGTTGAGTCTTGTGGGTGAGAAACAAAGGTCTACTCTGCCCACCTTCAGCCACCCACTGGGACCAAGTGAGTGGGAGACACAGGAAGATGGCATGATGTGTGCAAAGATCACAGCCCCAGAGGCAAGCACCTGCTCTGACTCCCAGCTCTATCCGTTTGACCATATGTGTGTGTGTGTGTGTGTGTATGGAAGCCAGAGGTCAAGCTCAGATGTCATTCCTCAGGAGCATCTTCCTTGTTTTTGTTTGTTTTTGAGACAGCGTCTCCCTGTAGCTCCGGCTGGCCTGGAACTCCATATGTAGACCAGGTGGGCCTCTATCTCATGGAGATCTGCCTGCCTCTGCCTCCTGAGTGCTGGGATTAAAGGTTTGTGCCACCACACCTGGCATAAAGGACTTTTTAATTTTTTCTTTATATGTATGTATGTGTGTTTACCACATGAATGCAAGTGCCCAAGAAGAAGGTGTCAGATCTCCTGGAGCTGGAGTTATAGGCATATGTGAGCTGCCCAAAATGGTTGCTGGGAACCAAACTCAGGTCCTCTACAAGAGCGGTACACACTCTTAAACACTGAGCCATCATCTTTCCAGATCCCTCGTTTTTTGAAACAGGGCCTCTAATTGGCCTGGAGTTTGCTGTTTCTGCTAAGCTGGCTGGCCAGCAATCTCTAAGAATCCACCTGTCTTCGCCTCACCAGTTCTAGGATTACCAGCAAGTGTCACCAAGTCCAGCTGGTTTTGGTGGGTTCTAGGGCTTGAACTCAGAGCCTCATACTTGGGTGGCAAGCACGGGAAAAAGTGAGCCATCTCCTAGTCCCCAATTTCAATCTTAATTATCCATCATTTTGTTTTAAATGCTAAGGTTGGCTCCCTACTCTAGTCAATAAAGGAAAATGCTCCCAAGTTCTGTGGTTGTACTCAACTAGTTAGAATGCAAGCCATGGCCTCCTATGTAGTTAAGGTCCAAGACTCAGGTGGTCTTCACAGCCCTGTGGTATCTGTACCCCACAACCCTGAAGCCAGAATGTTTACCCTTAGACCAAGTCCTTGTCTGTTCCCTGGAGGTTTGGGCCATGGCTCCTGGTCCTTAGCATCCTCGGAGCCCTCCCCTAGCCCAGCCCCAGGGTTACTGTGACACAGCTACCCTTCTGAAGTGTGCCAGCTGCCCATCTTGATGGTAGTGGCTCTCCTACTGCTATTCTTTATGTGGCCCTCAGTAGATGGAACTGTTTGGGACACGTGGGATCTAGGAATGAGGTGGGAGGGGGATGGGGCCCTGTGGGAAGCCAGATTAAACAATCCAGAGGGCCTGGCTGGGGAACTAGCCTGGGTTAGGCCTAATGTGAATCAGAATTCAGCTTGCCTCAGCCACCCTCATCAACAAGATGGCCTTAAAAACCCAGGTCCCACAACGAAAGTCTGATTACTCCTGACCAAAGGAGACCACTGTCTTTCCTGATCCCCTGCAGCTCCCATCTCTGACTACCTGCCTGGAATGGCCCTCCTTCCCAGCTGAGCTCCAGATCCAAGCCAGCAGCAGGAAGCCCTGCAGCCTGCACTGGCTCTCTGTTACCACTTGCCTCTCACTGATGGTCCGAATGATGCAAGCCCTCAGTGTCCAGCTCCCCCTGCAGAAGGACAGTCCCTCAAGCAGAGCTTCTTGTCACTTGTCCCTTGTTAGCTCATAGCACCGGGAAAGACAGGCCCAGAGACCAGCAAGACGTTGTGGGAGAAAAGATGCACCGTTTCTAACAGACACCACAGTGTTTTCCCTCTGTCCAGGTGCTGTGAGCCAAGGTACACTACTGTCCCATAGCACACTTTCAAACAGTGGCTTCTGAGCAGATGAAGGGACCAGTCATGAACCAGATTCATGCAAAACCACGCCATCACCATTGAAGGCTGATAGTTCATGAGACAGGAGGTAACTGAGGGACAGTGGGTAGAAGAAAAGCCAAGACAGACCTTAAGGAACAATCCTCTCTGCGCAGTAGGCGAGACACAAACAGATGGGATTGAGGGGGAGGTGCCAGCATCTTAACCAACATCCATCACCCACTAGAAACCAGCTGCATGTGCTTCAGACCACCATACAGCAGGAGTCTAGCTGCCTCTGGGAGCACCAGTTTGCCTTGCTTGGGGGAAGGGGTGGGGTGGGGTGGGGGTGTTTCTCCAGTGCCCAGTGATCCCAGAACTGGAGTGGGTTGAATAGTGACAGAACCCAACTTGAAGCTAGGCTACCATCAGCAAAGCCCAGAGCACCTCTTTCCTGCCTTCACTGATACCCTGCATGAACTCCACATTGACTGGAGGCTACCTTTCTCAGAGCAGAGTGGGCCTGTGAGGGGTATGTCCTAGGGCTAAAGCAGTAGGCCCCAGGCTGCCCCTATCTAAGGTTTCCTTATTCTTGGTCTGAGATAAAACCCTAGGCTCCCCCTAGGAATATCCACAGCTGAGCATCAGGAGTAACATCTGCCCCAGACAGGTCTGTCCTCAGCAACGCCAAAGACTCTTTAATAATTTGAGGCTGGTATTATTCCCATGGACCTCTTTGGACAAGTGGAGAGCCAGAAGTAAATCCTTCTGGGTGGGCCACATACCCTTTCTGCGAGCCAGCTGCCCCAGTAGTGACCCCACACAGTACTGGTCATGGAGTTTCAACT